AAACATGAATAATATAAAGATACAAACTTGAAGGTATGCTATTTACATGACTGTTGTGGTAATAATATGATTTTATTAAAATGAATTATTTTCTTATTTTTTTCCTTTTCCTGTGAAGATTTCATGTCACCCCTATACTGCGTCCATGTCACCCTTGGGTGACATGTCTCTCCGGTTGAGAACCACTGGACTAGGCAGTTACGTCGGTTTGAAAACAAATTTTTTGTTATTCTTCCGATTAGTCTAAACATTTGGATAAAATAAATAGTCAAAATTATGATTGACACTCATAATGTAATCGAAATCTAGTACACAATTTTTATTGTTTTAAATAAAATCAATGACACTTTTTGTACTTAGTGCGTGTCATATGTGACAACTGACAATGCGTTTAACAGGAAAAAAAGTTCGTAAAAAGTAATAACAAGTTTTTCATCTGGTTGAATACATTTCTGAAAATGAATGTATTTTTTTTATTATAAAACGATTATAAAACGTGATCGTTGAACGAGAGTCGCCATAACATTCGCGATAAATACCAAAAATGTAATAGCTTAAGAGCGGATTTAATTGGTATTGCAACTTTTTATTGATAACTAGTAAATCAAATCTGATCAAACATGTATACGAATCAGATTAATTACAGCCAACCTATTTAATTTAATAATGCAATTGTTTACAATTTTCGACGTTTTTGCAATTTTTTGCAATTATTGCAATTTTTGTTAAAATATACAAATTATTATTTACAAAGTGATTTTACATAAAAAATATAACTGCGATGTAAATTTTTATAAGTAGTTAAATATAGCTTAGGATTTTTAAAATTATATTTATCTGAGTTATCCATAAAACTCACAAGTTCAAAAGAATCAAATAGTCAATTACTTAATAGTTTATACATATTTAGTATAAATACTAAATAAATAAATAAATACTAAACAAATACTAACTAAGTACAAATATTTAGTATAAATATTTCTATAAATATTCCCGGTCCAATGGAAAAATAGTTAAAGATAAATTAAAATATGTCTTAGAAAAAAATGAAGGGTATAAAACTATTAAAACTTACTCTAAGATTATGACAGAAAATGAAAATGTTTATTTAGATACATCACCCAATTATTTAAACTATTTTAAACATGCATCGATAACAAGTGTCGACGTTAAACATACTTTTTCATTAGACAAACATATTTTAAGTAACGGACGATACAATTTTCAAGAACACTATTTAGAGATGTATATAATTATAAATTTTAATTCAGAAAAATTATATATTTTGACATCCATAATATTATTTAAGTAAGTAATTAATGATTATATATTTGAAATGATTTTACTATGTAATTTTAATGTATTTCATTGCCATTTTAACATATTTATACTGCAATTTTGATACATTTTCATTGTAATTTCGGCATCTTTTTAGTGCAATTTTAAGATATTTTTAATGCAATTATATCCGTTCTTTAATAATAGCAATCACGGTAGAAGTGATACGCTTACGTGTTTACCAACGATAAACACTCGTTATTCGTCAACATTTGATTAGTAGCAAAGTTTCAAAATATTTAAATACCAAACAGTAGTATACTAGTTTCGTAAGTGTTCATAAAAACTACCCATAAAAGGGAAGGCTATAGCTCCTTAACCCCCTTCCCCCTCACATGGCTCCGTCACTGCCCGCACAGGTACGTTTAAAGCTGCGGTTCGGCGTATTATCTGGGGTTATTGTTATTATTATTATTTTTTATATAGATGTTTTCGCTGTTTTTTATTTTTCTCTCGAATGTTTGCTTAAAAGATGGTGGACTGCGGCCAGAAAAAATATAACATTGTACAATCTGCGACAATACCGATAGGATACATTATAAAAACTGCGGTAATTTATTTTATATACTATGTAGCACGTCTGGGGAAATTACTGATAATTTTTAACAGAGTTAAATTGACGGAAAACATTTTAAAACGTTTAAAGTTCATAGTCAACTTAATTTTTTTTTTTCTAATCCAGTCAAGTTAAATGTTATACGAATATTTTTAATCGACTTATTTACTCAGGTTAAGTTATTATTATTATTATTATTATTTTTTTTTGTATTTATATAAATACCCAGTAATATGATTTATTAAAATAAAAATCATAAACATTAATGAACACAGGGAAAATGTTTGAATTTGCCGCGGTTTACGTACGGCCGTACGCTTACGGGTGCCCGGAACATTAAGCGTTTCGTATTGTATCCGTCTACCGGATGCGCACGACTTCCGGAAAGAAATACTTACGTTCGACCGATTGATCAAAAAGAATATTGCGGTTTTTTTTCTTTTCCCAATACGTATTTTTATTTTGCGTTACTCGTATTCAGTTTGGTTCGACGTAAACTTTTTTTATTTTTATCACACGATCTATTATGACTAACTATTATTATTATTATTTTTTCTTTAATCAACATTTAGACCATCTACGCGCAGGACTGCGCCTGAAACATTTCTGTACGTGCACCGATCGTCGTCGTCGACGACCGGAGGAACGAACGAATCGAAATTCACTTACAGCTCACAGGGCTGCCCAAACGCGTCTTAGACTTTGATTTTTTTTTTTTTTTCATTTCGTTTGCCTCGGAACCCGGAAAAAACCGAGTACAGCGCTGATTTCCGCCCCGCGAGCGTTCGCAACGATTTCTTTTCCTCGCCGCAAACACGTCTTCGCCGAACCGCGGTAAATGTTTTTCGCACGCGTACCGTCTACGTGCCGCCATGTGATCCACGGCCGCGTCAGAAGTGCCGCGCGGGAAACAGTTCTACGTTTTGGTTCACACGTTGTTTCGGTGCACGCGATTCGTATTGTTGTACGCGCGCCGCGCTATTGTGATTTCGCCGTCCACAACCGTTTGACGTTTCGGTCGAAATATCACCACGTCGTGTCACTGACGATTGTTTTCGTACACGCACGCGAAGCGTAGACAATATATTGTTACGGCAACGACGTTTGTGCGTACGAAAAAACACCGTTGAAGAGAGATGTATGTAAAGCGAGAGAAAGAGAAAATACAGGAATTATGAAATAAATTATGCACTCGTCTCCCGCGACGATAACCCGTGCGCAATGGGTTTTTAAACGGGAGGGGCTGACCGCCGCTTTTTTGGGCAGGTTAGGAAAGAAACGCTTTGAGAGATCATCCATATAACTCACCCCCACCCCTTTCCACCTGCAAGTTCGAAAATGTATTGTTAATCGAAAACATGACTTTTTTTCTCGTTGTATTAAAAAAATGTCATCTTGTCATAGGTTTAGAAAAATAGGTTATAAGGTTATAACAACTTTCAAGACAAATAGGTTGAAAATTAAAAAATAATATAATAATAATAATAATAATGATGATAATAATAACACGTTGATTTTGGTACAACATTCATACAAAGCTCTTCCCTAGAATGAACAATAATAAATATTACGTGTTTAAACACACGCCAAACGTGTTTTAGTACCTAATCGATTTAGCAACTTGCTCCGGTGACTCGGCCAAGTATTAAAACCGTATGAACCCGACTGTAGTAAAACGTGAGCGTTAAACGGCAGTCGTTACAACGTTCACGATTATCACCGAAAATTCAGTAGCAATCACGGTAGAACTAATACGCTTACGTATTTACCAATGACAAAAAACACCTGTTTTGTTAGTCATCATTTAGTTTGTACCACAGTTGTAAAGTATTTAAATACCAAATAGTAGTATGCTAGTCTAGTACGTACACATAAACACGACCCATAAGGGGGGGATGTATCCCCCTTAGCCTCCCTTTGGCTACGCCACTAAATTCGTACGTGCTGATTTCAGTATTTTATAATATACTCTTCCCGGCTCGCAGTGCCGGTTGTGTAAATTTCGCTCGGAGTTTACAGACTTGTTGAGTTGCCGTTCCTTACGTGACGGAAGATAAAAAAAAACTTTTTTTCCGCCTTTCACAATCCTTATCACTGTTTTCAATACGGTTAGGAGGCTCGTCGAATACATATTATTGTCTGCCTTTTTCCACCAATAATATATTCTGATCAAAACATGTTCACCCGGGTCGAGTTCGCTTCGATGGCACTACAACGTATTACCGGTGTCCTTCAACGAGATATCTACTGACATGTGTGTTGCGTAATATCTCGGACTAACAGACCCCGTCGGCCGACGAGGGTTAAAATTATTTATTTTTTTCTAACCCGATGATAACCTTCTAGAAAATTCGAACTTTTCGTTGTAACGTATGATACCATGAACAGGCAACTCGGTAAAACATGTTTGATGTAACATCATTTCAGAACGGTTGTTTTTTTTATTTATATTATTCAAATATTTTGACGACCGCGATGGTGACAACATGGAACCGATGTTGTCCTGTAGGAAGTTGATAGGAACAGTACTGTATAGGAGCATGACGGTTTGCAACAACCCGATAAATAATACACACAAAACAAAGTAATTGTTTAAAAATTCTATTACCTATGATTTTTTCTAGTGTCTAAATATACGTTCAATATAACACTTTTTTCCAATATTTACAAGTTTAACTATAGGTATATCATATAATTTTATGGAAGGTTCCAAAGTACATCATTTTACATGTGTAATTACATTTTTTTTTTTTTCGACGATAATATTGTTCATTATAATATTATTTGCATATTATATATAATCGGAAAAATAAAATAATAATAATAATAATAATACACAAATCCAATATTTACAACAAGAATATATCGATAATAATAATAATAATAATAATAATAATAATAATAATAATAATATTGTATAATTACGCATTAGAAAAAAAAAAATTGAAAAAAAAAAAAACCGTTCTTCATTAAATATAATTTTTGGGTTTTGCGGCAGAACATGCGTCGATAATATTGTGTCATGCGTATAATATTTATTTATGTTTTATGTATATATATTTATATATAATACAGCCGTATGAATATTATATAGTGTTTCGCATAAACCGGAGAGGAAAAAAAAAACTTAAAAACACTTAATATATAATAATAATATATATCACCAGTTAAATTATTTTGAGTTCAATATAGGTACACAACAGTAAAGTTTCTACGATTGTCGACTTATTTCCATTTTATGTTAGACGGCAGGCCACACCCTGAAACAGAAATACAACAAAAACCATTAGTCGCGCATATTATATTATACATGCATACATATGTAGACACGTAAGCGACGTGTTCGGTTAACAGTGATTGGGACATGTATGCGTGGACAAAATGCTACCACGTTACCATCGCGGTTACACAGCCTTGTAAATTACCCGCCGTCATAGGTCCTGTCGATGGGCGAATTACAATAATGTCTTAGCTCTCACCTATTGTTTTCAATTCGAAATCATTTGTAATCCTACAGATGTAGATATGGAGCTCTACTTTTTTCGATTCGTCGCTATCACGCGCGCCTATTCGATTTTTATCGGAACGCGTCGCCGAATAAAACAGTATTTAATATCATAAAACGAATGCGTTCGTTATGTATGTGTTAATCCACTAGCGCCACGCCACGATATTGTAGGTATTTTTACCGTGTATAAAAAAAAAAAAAAAAAACACAAAAACAAAACGACTGGGAAACATCATTATTTGACATAATAGAGGAGAAGTAAGCAAAGCAAGAGCACTGCGCGAAGAAGACGTTTATGATGCCCAAGACCATTTGTCCGGTGAAAATCGTTTGGTTATTCTAACAAGGTAAACATAATTTGGATTTCGAACCGCGGCAAGAGAGAGAACCGACCCCGGCCGAGAGATTTCGTAACACGATCGCCCGAGTCGATTATCCGTTCGTTCGGTCCGATCGACGCGAACACGCATGCTTACAACGCAATATCACATGCGAATACGGTGCACGATCCGCGGGCTTATGATTTTTTATTTACGCGCGCGCAAAGGTATTAACCCGGTCGTGTCGCCGTGGTGGTGGTCGCGCGAAAGCGAACGTACGCGTACGAATTGTGTACCGAAACGTTATCCGTTTTCGGGTTAACACTGGTCAAAGCCCGCAGCATTAGATCAACGCGGTCTTACGTGCGAGTACACGGTCTATGCAAATCCGAACACTTCGTAACAATCTCGCGCGTACGCATATTTTACACCGTACAGGGTGTGCACATTCTCGCGGTTGCACGATGTACAAATGGCAACGCGGTCCGAGGGAAAACGCGGCCGATCGTCCACTGGAGGCCAAAATCGGATCGAATAACGATCCGAACGAGGGACAAGGATTACGGGCGTGGTACACTGACTTTCTTATTACCGTGCGAGGAAACGCACGAGTCGGAGAATGTTCGAAAATCGTAATCGAAAGTCATACGGAAAACGGTTGGAATATATTATCACGTCGTCACACGAAAACGTAGGTGCAAACGCGCATATCTTAATCAAGTTAATACGGCACAACCGAAATCCACGACAGATCTATAATGAAATGAAATCTTTTTTATTTCGAATTTTAGTTTGGTTAAAAACTGATTGCTAGTGCACCAATTTATATCCCCAAGGTCTATGAACTCGATTAAAAATATTCAATGGAGCGTATGACAACGGTCAAACGGTATCCAGTTGTATGTAGTATACAATATGGTCATGATTTAATAGTACTAAAAATGTACATTACGGTGGTAGATAAAATTATAATTAGTCCGAGAACAGTAAGCGTATTGCATAAAATTATCTGATAAAAGGTCAATTTTCCGAAGACCTTTTTCATTATTCACCGGACTGGATGTCGTATTTTAGAGAGCAGTGTTCGATAAAGCGCCTTTTTATGCGATATCATAATATTTAAGTAGTAATTGGAATCCGACACATGATCGAGATAATACGTCGTAATATGCTCTATCCATCCATAATACAGAGGTCACCCGCCAAGAGCTCGTTCTGAAAATCCGATTTTATATTTGCTTATATTGTCACCACACATTACACGCGATATCTAATAATTATTTTTATTAATATTATGATATTATAATGTATACATACAACATTTAATAACTCGCATAACCCTTTGTAACCTTATTCGCTCATTAACTCACGCAGTCTGTACGGCCACAAAAACACTGATCCTTGACATGACGCAAGGTTATCGTCATCAATATTATTATTCGACAACACTGTTTGTTTTACTTAAACAATATCTGTGCCGTATACAATATAGTGCTGGTCGATCAAACTTAGTTATACTTATTGATCGAAGTATATGTGTTTGAAATCAATAAACCGTCCGTGTACACTTCGCATGCACGTAAATATTAAAACGTAAACGTACAATGTGTACACACATATTACGTATATGTATATCGATTTCACGTCAATTATTTTTTAAACATTTTACACACGCGAAAGCATTATAAGTTATGTAAAAAAAAAAAAAAAACAATCAAGTTTTTTAGACCACGCGTACAGTATTTACAGTGTTTATATTGTTGGGCTGGAAAAAAAAATCATGTTGACATTAACACGCCAAGATCGCCGTCTACGGTACACCGAACTACCCGCGAGGCACAACCCATTGGTTTTATCACCGTCTCCGTTTACGCACGTTATGTTTACGACCACTAAAATCACGTCATAATAATAATAATAATAATAATAATATAACATATTAATATAATACGCGCGAGTACGCAGAACGTTAAAATGTTATCAACCGTGCAACCGCATCTATTTGTCATCGTTGTATTTGTACACCACTTATGATATTGTACCAGCAGCGTATGATGGAAATCATCCGTTGTAAATGGTTACAACAATACATGTTGTGATATTCATAACAGCGTCTGTACCGCTGAAACGTTGGCTAGAATTATTACATCTAAGCGTGCACGGCACGCGTAGACTTATTATTATTATTATTTTTTCAAGTTGAGATTTTGGTAACAAATCTAAGCAATTGATATCATATTGGTGGCACGGGAAGTTAATAGCCACGTAGAAATTGTGATGAGAAAGTTTTTGTTTAAGGGTATATACATAAATAACCAACAGTGAAATATACTGTAAACATAATATCGGTAACTGATTATTTAATACTTTTAGTTTAGAGCAAAATGTCATTGTTTCGTTGTATATTTATGGATATATACTCAACAGCAGCACCACCAAATACAAGAAAATCGTCCCAACCGTATTCTCTATGCGGTCGGTTTTCGCCAGCAACGTAACGAAATCGGTTACGAAACGATCGTTACACTGTTATTATCATTAATGACTACGCGCGTAATATTGGTAATGTGTGTTTACAAGACGAACAAATAAAAAAATAAACCAAAAATCTACCGTGTCCGAAGTATACGCCCGCAGCGTCGGGGAGATGCGTCCACGGGTTTAGAATAAGAATGAAATGTTTTTTTTTTTTTTTTCGTACAACAATATAATCTTATAATACGTACACGTATTCAAATTGATCGATAAATTCAATGCAGAATTATGTACAATAATTGTTATCATCGCCGTGTAATGTAGATCAAACGTGATTCGCTGTCGAGTGAACGTCTCATTTACGAGGGTTGAAATTAATAAGAAAAAAATGTAACAAACGGTTAGCCGAGTGTTCCGTTATATCGCCCGGTATATGATTGTACGTGCAACCTGCAGGGACAACGCTTTATACAATCGGCCATATAAGTTGTTTGAGATATTATGTATTGCTACAATATCATCGTTACAAATCGAATCCGGAATCATGTTATTTCGTACCTGTACGTCTACATATCATCGTGTACGTATTATATTAAACGGTGACATTGAACGCATTTCGTCACGACCGAATTTTTTTTTAAAAAAAAAAGCGAAACATGCGAGTTATTGATTTCTATGCAAATGTAATGGTCTGAAATACATTTTTATTGGAGGTTATGAGATTTTAAAACACGTCGAAAGAAAAAAAGAAAAACCGTTAAATAGATGATATGAATTCTTGCGGGCACGGAGGACAAGTCTTGGGTATAATTTCAGTTCTACCGTGCAATTGTTTTGTCCGCGTATTCGATACAGGATTTAATGATATATTGAGATGATTATAATGGTAAAGTTCTGTTGCACATTTCGTTAAGAAACAGTAATAATAATCGACGCGAAGAACCTGTTTTCCGTTGCCATATTTTATAATAATATGTATTTGGACTTTTCTACGCAAGCACTGCGCAACGTGTCTGCAAAGAACGAAATGTACATCGAGCAACACGCAATGTTCACTAAACGAGATTATTTCACGAGTGTGTCTCACACGAGCGTCGATTTCTGCGCACAACGCACGCCATTAAAATATTTGATCTTTTAACCGTTGCAAACTGTAATAGTATTTTGAACTTGCAAGACGTTCTCTACTGCAGCGCGACGACGTGAGAATCTCGGTCGAACGTACGGAAAATTACCGTATTAATAATTGATAGCTTAAAGGTATAGGTAATTTTTATTATTTACTTTGTTTGATATTGTATTAGTTAAATAGTAAAAAAAAAAAAAAATCTTTCTAAATAATTATTTGACGGTTAAATATGATACTGCGTAACATTGAAAATGAAAAGTAAACAATACGCGTTTGTAAATCATAGTTTTGCGACGTTTTCATCTTATTAGATATTGATGGCCGATCGTTTGGAATACGAGAACTGTGGTTCAAGATTAAATGACCACGGGGAGAGAACGACAGCACCGAAGGGAAGGATAATGCCGTGGCTGGGGGAAAAAGGGGTTAGGTTAGGAACGCGGATGTGAACACGTCGATAAAGTGCTCGTCAAGGTTAGAACCGTATTCATCAACGTAGACGCGTATATCGTTAGTCGTACCGCGACGAATTGCAATGGTCTCGGCCAAGATTGATCTTCGTTCGCGCGTACATTTCGATCGCACACCGATCGTCGAATGCTCTCGTTCGCACACGATCCGTTTACTCGCAGAGCAAAGTGTATTCGGTGAAAATACATAAGACCGTGTCGTGATGGCCGCCGTGCAGACCGTGTCGAACGTGTCGAGACGAGAGGACGACCCCGCCGGTGCGCGTCGCAATATTCGCCTAGTCATCGAGCTACCGACGTGTGCCTATAGGTTTTTCAGTACCTGCTACGAGTATTTGTTTGTTTATTTATGTTTTTT